TGGCTGCTTGCTCCCTTGTGGTGCCTGTTTAATTTGTCCTTCTTTCCTCCCTTGATTGGATTAAGATTGTATTTCAATTAAAAACAGAGGATCAACTCAATGAAGAACCTCACAATGAAGTCCAAATACACATAGGAGCCTGGTTGACCTTTGGGGCTGTCGTTTTTCACATCTGCCAGTGAGAGGGAAGGATTCCCTATCCACAGGGGCTCTCACATGGCCGGGAGGGATGGAGGACCTGGTAGCCCTCTCCTCAGGGCTGTGTTAGAGACCCAGCCTGAGGCTCAGAAGTATCCTTTTCCTGGCAGCTGGAGGAGTTCAAGGAGAATAACATGGATGTCGGCTTCGGCTCAGGAACACGGGCTCTGGAGCAAGCCCTGGAGAAGACCAAAGCCAATATCAACTGGGTGAAGGAGAACAAGGAGGTGGTGTTAAACTGGTTCAAAGAACACAGCTAAACAGTCTCTGGTCCGTCCATTCACCTGGTCCCTATGTGAGATGTCCACACGCCTCTATCCCAGGGACCCACGGCAGGGCCCCTGTTTCTGAAGCCTGAGGCACCAGCGTCCTCCCCTTGGGGACAGAGTCTCTGGCCCATGTTCACTCCACTCTTCCCAGGGGACCACTCCAGTTTCTGATGCTCAGACTGTCCAAGTGCCTCCCAGCTCCTGCCCCTCACGCCAATGGCACCCCAGGCTTGGCATGGCTCCTGTCGCCCAAGGCTCTGGGTCTGATCTCAGGGAGTCCAGCTCCAGGGTCAGATGAGAAGTCCTCAGTGGATGATGGATGGCCTTGGGGGGCTGCCCTGTGCCATCTCCTATCCTCTCCTAAAGACCCTGGAACTGATAAGTCTACAGAACACCAGATCTGTATATTTTTTTCTAAGATAAAATGTAAATAAAAGATTTCTAGATGAGCTTCCAGACTCATTACTGAACTTGAGCAGAATGGGTCTGCACATAGGCCAAGGGAATGTCCTGCCAGGATCCCAGGGTGACATATCAGTTTTTTAAAAATTAATTTTTTAAAATTTTGGCTGTGCTGGGTCTTTGTTGTGGCACACAGGCTCTCTAGTTGCTCTGTGGTATGTAGGACCTTAGTTCCTGAAGCAGAGATCAAACCTGTGTTCCTTGCATTGGCAGGTGGATTTTTAACCATTGGACTATCAGGGAAATCCTTCAATTTTTAAACTGGTTGTTTTCAAGAGTAGCCTACAGAAGAAGATAGGTGCCCTCCAGATCACCTCGGGCAGCCAGTGATCAGGGCCACTCTGAGGAGAAGGTCAGGGACCCACAGGGCTCCTCGGCCCACATTGGCCTTGGCGGAAATTTCTTGGCAAAGGAGGCCCAGCTGAGTGCACAAGGCTGCTTGGGTTGGGGGTGGGGGGGAGGACAGAGGGTGGGAAAAGACAGTCCAGGCACCTCAGGGGTCACCTTCAGTTGACATCACCTGTGAGCTGCTCCAGGCAGTGTTTTTCCACCCTCTAGGCTTTGGTTTCCTCATCTGCGGTATAAAGACATTTTATATCATAGGGTTGGCTTCCCAGGTGGCGCAGTGGTAAAGAATCCACCTGCCAATGCAGGAGACGTGGATTTGATCTCTGGGTCGGGAAGATCCCTTGGAGAAGGAAATGGCAACCCACTCCAGTGTTCTTGCCTGGAGAATTCCATGGACAGAGGATCCTGGTGGGCTCCAGTCTATGGGGTCACAAAAAGTCAGACATGACTGAGAGACTAAGCTTGCATACATGCATATCATACGGTTGGTGTGTGGATCTGAGAGTCACGTACTTAGCGCACAGTCTGACACTCAAGGAGAGCTGTCTCCTGCTCAAGGCCCCATTGGCCCTTTTCCCTCCTAGCCTCTTGTGAGAAGCTTGAGCCAACGGGCCTGGGTCCAGGAAGGCTCCTCTGCGCTCCATTGCCTTCTGCACATCAAAGGGTGGGCGGGGCCAGCCTTGGTTGTGGGTCACTCCACCAACCAGGAGGCTCCCCCCAGCCCAGCCCCTCTGGACCAGCCCTTCCTGTCTCCAGGGCTCAGTGGCTGCGGCTGGCACTTGACTTTCTGGGGTCCCTGCTGGAGAAGGGACCAGACCCACCATCTAGGGTCTCTAGGGGAGAGCTGGCCCCTGGGTAGAAGAGTCAGCAGGGACTCTAGTCTCTGAGCCTGGCACTCGGTTAAGCTTTTATGCGCATTATCTCATTTGGTTCCCAACAGGGAGATAAGGACCGTCTTTATCTCAGTTTTGAGATAAGGAAACTGTGGAGCAGGGATATTAAGACTCAGGCTCTCATGCCTGTGCAGGAGCGGAAGCGAGCTTCCATTTGGGGATGTGGTAGTTACCTGCTTGTCACCTGACCGCTCACAGCACTGGCATTCACAATGCCTGTGTGGCTGGAGGAAATCTGTCTGGAGGATGCAAAAGGGACAAGCAGAGCCAGAGAGCTGTTTGCAGGTGGTAGGCAGAACAGGAAGTGACTAGAAGTCCAGTTGCTCAGCCTCGGTCCAGAGATTTGTCTACAGGTGGATCCACCTCTCCCAGCCAGCAGGTGATGGCAAGTCCTTAAGATGAGCCAGAAGCGGGTGGTGCCCTCTCTCACCTCCCCCCCACTCCAGGAGACTCCTCAGGAGGCATGTCCTCTGCACTGCAGGGTCATTGAAAGCCCTGGGAGACGTACTCAGCAAATGTCCAATCTCCCATGGATGGTGCCTGGGTCCCCAGGAAGGTATGGGTAGGCCAGTCATCCCAGAGAGGGGACCAGCCTCCCCTGCAAGACCTTAGTGGAGGTGCAGCCAAGAGCAGCCTGCCTGGGACGGAGCCATAAATGGGGGCAAGGGGCTGATGATCCTGAGAGGCAGGGCTGAGCCTGCGCTCCCAAAGGATAAGGACAGGGGTGGGCGGGTTGACCTAACCCCCCTGGGCCCTGCTTCCCCCACTCCAGCAGCAAATAGGAAGTGTCCCAGGCGACTCCAGCTGGGGTGACATCAGCCTTTTGCCTCTGCCTTTGTATCTCCCAAAGGAACATCTCTTGCGGGGAGTTGGGAGAACAGGGTTGCCAACTTCTAGAAGACGCTCAGCTCTGGCTGCTGCTGGTGGGAGCTCCAGTCCAGCCCCTGCCGATGTCATCATTGACTGGACCAGGAAGCACTTCTCTCTGTCCCTATAAAGACTATGCCCAGATAGGTGGGAGCCAAAGGAAGGAGACGGGCGGCTATTCAGCTCCGCCGTCTGTGCAGGTGTTGTGTGACTGTGGAGCCAAGACCTTGGGTCTTCTCAAAAAGGAAAGAGCACTGGACAGGGAGTCCGGGGCTTGAAGTTCCAACCCAGCTGAAGGGCCGGATAGAGTTCTCCTCTCTCCAGACCTGTTTTCATAAAAATGAAAAGAGCAAAAAATATCCATTGCTCCTGGACCTGGTTGGGCCTCAGCCCCAGGTTCCCAGGTCCTGGCTTGATGCACTCTCAGGGTAGGACCCTGGAACCAGATGACTCAACCTGTAATCAGGTGAAGGGACCACTGGACTGGAGCATCTCTGGGGTCAGGTGACTCTATTCAGGTATTCTGTATTGAGCTTTTGTTGTTGTTGTTTAGTTGCTAAGTTGTGTCCAACTCTTCGCGACCCCATGGACTGTACCTCGCCAGGCTCCTCTGTCCATGGGATTCTCTAGGTAAGAATACTAGAGTGGGTTGCCATTTACTTTTCTAAGGGATATTCCTGAACCAGGGATCAAACCCACGTCTCCTGCATTGATAAGCAGATTCTTTCCCACTGAACCACCTGGGAAGCATTGAGTAATTACCATGTGCCAAGCCTAAGAACCGAGAGGTAGGGTTTATAATTGTCTCCACTTCACAGCTGCGGAGACAGAGGCTCAGGGAGGTTTTGAAGCTTGCCCACGGTTACACAGAGTTAAGAGATGAATGAATGTACACCCAGGGCAGTGGCACCCTGTGTCCATCTCCTTGCTGTATGCAACCTCAGGTGAGGTTTCCTCCTCCTCTGAGGGGGCTGGCAGCTCCTACAGAGGGCCCTGGGGTAGGAAACAGAACCCACTTCTGAAAGGTTGGGGGACTGATCACCTAAACCAGTTCCTCTTTTAAGAGATGGGGAAACTGAGGCACAGAGGAGTGACTTGCCTGTGGTCAAAGGGCATATTAGCAGACAGTGGGTTAGATGGGAGGCCCTGCATGTGGGAACTCACGCTCTGGTCTTCCTCCTGCCCCCTCTCTCACACTGCACCATTAGAACGGCCCCCAGCCTGGCTCCATTTCCATGAGGCTGCCATAAAGACCAAGGGAGGCTCTGACTAGGCTGTCTCATGGCAGCCCCAGTAAAATAACCCACTGGGCCTAACCCATGGGAAAAGACTCCGATGCTGAGACTTAAAGCAAAAGGAGAAGGGGGTGGCAGAGGATGAGATAGTTGGATGGCATCACTGACTCAATGGACATGAATCTGAGCAAATTCCGGCAGACAGTGAAGGACGGGGAACCTGGCATGCTGTAGTCCACGGAGTTGCAAAGAGCTGGACACAATTGAGTGACTGAACAACAGCACGTGGGAGCCACGCACAAGCACCTTTTGGGAAACAATTTCACCTAACTGTGAAAGAGCTCTGTGGGTCAGCAGGAATGCACCCAGGAGAATGGGAAAGGGCCACGGTATTGGGGTTGAGGCAAGGGGACAGGCCCAAGCGTTAACCCACCTTGCCCAGCAGGCCAGGTGGAGCCCCTGCACGGTAATTACTGTCAAACTGGCAAGTGAGGGCCTACATCAACCTCAGTAGGCCTGGATTTCCGGAGGGGAAAAGCAGCATGACTTGTTCCTTGCCCTATGGGAACATTTTTCCTTTTCCAGAAGCAATAAAAACCCAGGTGGACAGAAGAAAAACAGACAAACCAAATTTTTTTGTGTGTGTTTTTTTTAAGAAGTACAAAATCTAAGCATATAGATTTCTTCCCACTCCCCACCCCCCCCCCAGTCCACTCCCCCACTAGTCCCAGCCTGGCAAACCACTGTGGTCAAGTAACCACCATCTTACTGCCACTCAGGCTGTGCCCTGCAGAGCACTGGACATTCTGGGGGATGTCAGGGAGTGGAGGGACTGCCCCAGCCTCGACTTCAGCCAGGGAGGTGACCCCCTATCTGCTTTAAACACTGCTTCTATGAAAGACATCACTTGGAAAAGGGATCCTTGATAAAAGAAAGCCTGAATACTACTGAAGTAGCCGATGAGGCGGGCAGCCTACACTACAGGCCTGATTCCTGGCTGAAAAAGGGGGTGGCCTTTACTATTGGCAGGCAAGGCCATTAGTAGAACATGCCCAGGTGAGTCCCCTCCAAATCTTCTTGCCAAAATTCAGGGCAGCTGCTGAGCGGAAGGCCTGAGTTCTGGGGAGGGCTTTCATCACTGAGCTGGAGGGCAGGGCCTGGTCCCTGGTCCTCTGAGTTGGGCAGCACCTCTGCAGCGTGGCTCCAGCATCCCCACTGGGTCTGAGGCTGCAGTCGCTGGCAGGCTGGGCGGGGCAAGAGAGGAGGGGTTTCTGGCAACAGACAGGTCTCCGGAGACACAGAGATACCCTGAGGGAGAGAAGAGCAGCAGTTTAGTGGGCCACTGCCTCGGGCCCTGAAATCCCTAACCTGAAGGTTGCCCGTAGTGTGGCTGGCAGCTGCTGAACAGCCCTGAGGCCATAGACGCACTGAAGCACAATGGTTAAGGGTACAGGCTCTGGAGATACACTGCCAGGGTTCAAATCCCAGCCCAGCTACTCACTAGCTGTGAGAACTCGTGGATAACCTCTTTTAGTCTCAGTTTTTTCCTCTATAAAACGGTGACGATGACAACAAAACCCACTTCATAGGGTTGCTGGAGGGCTGATGAGTTAATACATGTAAAGTACCAAGAATGGGGTTGGGCACACAGTAAGCATTCAGTAAATCTCGTTTATTAATATGCTCTTTTACGGCAGCTTGAGGAAAACATGAAGGTCACCAGTTCCAAGCCCATCTACTTAGGAAGCCCCTCCCCCTGGGGTAGCCATGCCTCCCCTCTCTTCTCACTGTCCCCCACCTCCCGGCAATACGGAGCACCAGGAGGGAATTTCCTGAAGGCCCCGCTACCTTCCACCCTGTACTCTGAAAGCAAGTATTAAGATTCCCCCTTCCTCCCCATGGCTGCGAAGGCGTTTAGGTAGAGGTGGGGGTGGACTTAACTTCCCAGGGCCCCACCCCTCTCCCCAAGGAGGTTACGGTCCTCTTCATCCCTCCGCTTCAGCGCCTCTCCATCCCTAATCAGGATTAGGTAACCCGGGATCTAAAAGGCATGAGATTCTCGGGAGACCAGAGCTTACTCACCCCCTCCGTTTCCAATCGAAGCCTGGGGACCACTCCGAGGGAAGTGGCGAGAGCCTGGGCGCGCACCTGGTACACTGTAGCCAGCTCCAGAGACGCGGGGGGCGATGTCCAGGGTGTAGGCTCGTTCCGGGGCTCTGGGGGTGTCTGTGTTCCACAACAGGCTTGAGGCGGCGTCCAAAGGGGCGCATCAGGGGCTCTTCCTTGAGAAAGCTGCGGGGGCGACTGCATCCCGGGGCAGTAAGGGGGTGTCAGCCAGGGTCCCATGTCGGGGACCCTGCTCCCCAGGCTCTCGGGCGCCGCTAGGGCCTCGGGGCAGACGGGCGGGGACCCCCAGGACACAGCGGCACCGGCGGCCGAGCCTGAGCAGCAGCCTTGCCTCTGCGTCTCCGCGGGGCCGCCGTCGGGGCACAGCGCGCAGCCCTGAGAGGGCGCCGCGTCACTGCGCTGCCGGCGCCGGCGCTGCAGGCTCTCCTCGCTGAGGCCCAGCACGGCCGACAGGTGTCCGATGTAGCGGATGGCCAGGCGCAGCGTCTCGATCTTGGTCAGGCTCTGGCCGGCGGGCGCCACGGACGGAGGCAGAAAGCGGCGCAGCTCGTGCAGGGCGCGGGCGAGCGTGCGCATGCGCAGCTTCTCGCGCTCGCTGGCGCTCTGCCGCTGCCCAGCGCCCAGGCGGCCGCCGCGCGCCCCTCGCCTCCCTGCTGCCGGCCCGCGGAGGGAGGCGCGGGTGGCAGGGCTCCCGGGGCTCGGCACGGGGCTGCAGGCCGGGACGCTGCCNGGACTTGCTCACGGTGATGGCGGGAGAAGGGGTTGGGGAAAGGAGGGGAGGCACAGGTGGACCCTCCCTGGGTTCCCAGAACCCGCACTTGCTGCTTCGCTGAGTGATACCGAGAGGGTCGTCTCACTGTCCACAGTTTCTTTCCCTGAAAAATAGGACAGAGCCAGCAGCCCGGAGAAGAGACATGGAGTGTAGTGGGTGATGAAAATGAGGGAGGTTGGGTCCCCACGCAGGCCTGAATCAGATCCTCCTTATTTGCTGTGTGACCTTGGGGAGTTCATTTAACTCCTCTGAGGCTCATCCTCATGACAGTAATAACAAAATACCTACCACCTAGGATGATTGCTGCTGCTAAATGGAACCATCCATGGGACCACTTAGTGGGAGCCTGGCAAGTGGGCTAAATGTTTGCTACTATCATTTTCTAAAGAAAGTATCAATATTTATGTCTCAAGATGCTTGTGGGCATTAGTCATTTAATTCATATTTGTTTAGCAACTGGTGAATGTCAGGCATGCCAGAGTGAACAAGATAGTTGTAGTCTCTGCTCTCTGGGATTTCAGTCTTACTGGGAGCTATGTCAGCATGTAATTAGTAGCTCCACCGGTAGCTCGCTGTGCGCCCTTGGGCAGCTCTGAGCCTGAGTTAAAGAGGGAGTAATAATTATAGTATCTGCTCACAGGACTGTTTTTACAGTCTTATAGTATAACCTTTGACACAGTAAAGTTTAAAAGTGCCCACTCCTCAGCAATAATTGCACTTTAAAGGAGGCGTCAGTGTTCTTCATATCTTCAGAGAAAAGGCTGAAATCCAAGGCTAAAGGCCAAGTGGGGACCAGGAATGGTTAAGGTCTGGCCACGGAGGCAGAGAGGTCACAGCTGGGCCTTGAACCGTGATTAGGACTTGCGTAGGGAGAGAGGCAGGCAGGTGGAGAGCATTCTGAATATGGGAACTGCATAAGCAGAGGCCTGGCAGGGGCCTTCCCAGCGTGCTCAGCTGTGCCAGGGTGATGTGAACAGCATAAGCTCACCTTGGCTGGGGCCAGGCTAAGAAAGTGGATCTTACTCCTGAGGCAAGGGGGAGCCAAGTGACTTTTGAACAGAAGTGGGACCAAAAAAAAAAAAAAAAAAAACTCAGCATTTAGTAACTAAAAGTTAACGTGATGATGTTTCAGGAGTAGGTTAACCCACACCAGCCTAAAGTAGTAAATGGCCTTGTGGTATTTTTGTGACTGTTTAAAAATTAACTGTTACTTACACCAATTATATAGCAATACATTCTCTTTATAAGAAATGGAAACGTAAAGCTGGAGTCCCTGTAACCGCTCCCCAAGGGTCATGTGTCCTTCCAGACTTGGTCCCTGTGCACTCCCAGAAACATTTGTATCCTTAGAAAACACATGGTATAAATGAGATAACTTTATGGCAAGTTGTCTGTGATTTGCTTTTTCTCATTCAACAGTGTATCTTAGAGCCTTCCATGTCAGGGCGTGTTTAGCTGACTCATAGTTGGTCTTAGTTGATTTAAGTGTTCATCTGTTTAAATCTTACTGTGTCATTCTAACTGGAAAAGAAAATAATGGTAGGAGATGCAGATAAACCTTCAATGATGAAATTATACCACTTTCTCCTCAGAACTTAATTCTTTAAATATTGGAGAAAATATGCCCAAGTTAACTACTCTATGATGAAATAATAATTGACATTGAATAAGATTGGTCAGGGCACCTGTTTTTAGTTTAACTACTATAGTAATGAGGGGACATATTTAATTTGTTCATCACAAAGAAGGTGGAATCAATCAACAATGGCCCTGATTTCAAACAGGAGAGAAGCAATTCGTTATGCAATATTTCATGATTTAAAAGTGTTTAAACCAAGGTTAAAAAAATAATCCTGGGTACTTCCCTGGTAGTCCAGTGGTTATGACTCCTTGCTTCCAAGGCAGGATGCATGAGTTCAATCCCTGGTTGAGGAGCTAAGATCTCACACGCTGCATGGAGCAGCCAAATAATAATAATTTAAAAAATAATAATCCTTTTGTCCTAAGGGGAGAGAGACTTAGAAAATAGTCAATCCTACACTTTTAAGGATTAAAATAATGGCAAATCGTTATCTATCCAAGGCTGCACAATACTTTAAAGATATTGACATATACTATCAGGAAATTTATGTAGATGTAATTGACAGTTATAAACAGGATTCATCAGGTTTCATGTATATTTCTTGATCTGGATTCTGGAGTGTCAAATTGAGGTGCTATTGATCTTGAGTGCTCCAGCTCATCTCTTTTCACTGCAATATAGTATTCGTAACATGCTCACACCATAGTCAGTCCCTTTTTAATGCACCTTTGGCGTGTTTTTAGTTTTTGCCAAAGAGTGCTGCTTTGTGCACAGGCAACTAGGTATGGAGTGGTGGAGTGGCCTTGTGATTCCCAGGAAGGAACAAGCCTGGAGGAATCTCCTGTGAAAGCACTTGGTGAGTTAGGGGAATTCACCATTGGCAGAGCCCTGCATACTGTCCTTTCCTCTCTAGGATAGCCTGGCTTCCTTCTGTCTTAGTTTGGCTTAGTCCTACAGCCCAGGCCTCAGGCTGACTGTGGGATGGCAGAGCATAAGTTCTGGGAGGTGAGGCCCTGAAGCTGGTCTGCTGTGGCCCCTGGCTCTTTGCTGGGCCCCTCAGCCAGGCTCTGGGAGCGCAGGGGCACACTGCTGGCCCCACTCAGCATTGGGAGGCAGTGTGGCTTAATGATTAGGAGCCTGGACTGTAGAATCAGTTAGACCCGTGTTTAAAGTCCAGGCTTCATCCTTTCCCAGCTGTCAGAGCTTGAGCAACTTAACCTCAGTTTTCTCGTCTGTTAAGTGGGGATTCTCATTTCCAGGGCAATTGTTGGTACAAAAGCAAGATAACGCATGTCTGAGGACTTTCCTAGTGATCCAGTGGCTAGGACACTGTGCTTCCAACATCACAAACATGGGTTCAGTTCCTGGTTGGGGAACTAGGATCCCGCATGCCGCACGGTGTGGCCAAAAAATAAATAAAAAATAAACTTGTTAAAAAAAAATTGTTGTTCAGTCACTCAGTCGTGTCTGATTCTTTGTGACCCCATGGACTGCAGCACACCAAGCTTCCCTGTCCTTCACCATCTCCCAGAGTTTGCTCAAACTCATATCCTTTGAGTCAGCAATGCTGTTCAACCATCTCGTTCTGCTCTTGCTCTCAATCTTTCCCAGCATCAGGGTCTTTTCCAATGAGTCAGCTCTTCGCATTGGGTGGCCAAAGTATTGAAGCTTCAGCTTAAGCCTCAGTCCTTCCAATAAATATTCAGGACTGTTTTCCTTTAGGATTGACTGGTTTGATCTCCCTGCAGTCCAAGAGACTCTCAAGAGTCTTCTCCAATACCACACTTCAAAAGTATCAATTCTTCGACACTCAGCCTTCTTTATGGTCTAACTCACATCCATAAATGACTACTGGAAAAACTATAGCTTTGGTTATATGGACCTTTGTGGGCAAAGTGATGCCTCTACTTATTAATATGCTGTCTAGGTTTGTCGTTGATTTTCTCCCAAGGAATCACCGTCTTTTAATTCCATGACTGCAGCCATCATCTGCAGTGATTTTGGAGCCCAAGAAAATAAAGTCTCTCACTGTTTCCATTTTTTCCCCATCTATTTGCCATTAAGTGATGGGAGTCCTTAAAAGGAAAAGGTAATGTATGGCATCACCACCATGTTATAGAGCCTTTGTTTATAAGTCTTTCTTATAGCAAGTTTAGGGCAGCAGAATGAAGAGGGTTAAGGACAAGATTGCATTGTGGTAAGGTGGCTGACAGCTTCATCTGTGGCCCCAGACGATGGTTCCTTCCTCCTTCACTCTAGCACCAGGCCTCGGGCATCCTGCCCTAACCCCCTCCTCCAACTTCAGCCTGTCTTCTCCGTGGACCCAGCATGGGGTTTGTCCTCAGCAGGACACTCCAGCTCCTGGCCTGTGGCAGGGCTCAGCAGTGCTGCAGGGCAGAGGCAATGAAAGAGTTCTAGGTGTTGGAGCCCAACCAAGGCCAGAAAGTGGAGAATCTGAATCAGCTTCTGGTGGGCTGGGTCCTGGCCCAGGTACTCTGCCCATTTGCTCTCTGGCCCTGAGACCCTCAAGCCTTCTTCCTGGTGTGCCTGAAGCAGCCCTGGGTGCTGCATGAACAAGCGAGGTCTGGGCCCCAGGGCTTCCAGCTGGGCAGTCTCCATTTCTCTTTCATTTGACTCGCCTGGTGAAAGGAGGGATATCTATGGCTGTGTGCTGTTAGATAAGGTGATTAATTTTTGAGCCTCAGCATGATAGTGACACCAGTTTCACCCCTTCCTTCCTATGATAGCAGGAGGTGGTAGATGGATCAGGGAACCATGGTCAGTAGAATGTTGACTAGTGTGGCAGACTCATCTGGTTGTCCACACAGTGTCTGTTATTGCCTCTATTCTTCTTTCTTCTTTAATAATGGCTCTGTATTATGGAGGGTGATGTGCCCAACTGAAAACTATATTTCCCAGCCTCTCTCGCAGATTGAATCAACAATAAGATGTTAGTAGAAATATTGTATGGGGTTTCTAGGAAAACTTTTTAAAGCAGAGAGTTACGCTCCTCTGACTCTTACTCTCTTCTGTCATCCTGGAAAACTGCTGTGATGTCTGGAGCTTCAGCAGCTTTTTTGTGAACCTCAAGCATTCTCAAGGACAAAAGTCACATCTAAGGAAAGCCTTCCTCGGTGATCAGTGCAAAGAAATAGAGGAAAACAATAGAATGGGAAAAAGTAGCGATCTCGTCAAGAAAATTAGAGATACCAAGGGAACATTTCATGCAAAGATGGGCTCAATAAAGGACAGAAATGGTATGGACCTAACAGAAGCAGAAGATATTAAGAAGAGGTGGCAAGAATACACAGAATAACTGTACAAAAAAGATCTTCACAACCCAGATAAACATGATGGTGTGATCACTCACCTAGAGCCAGATATCCTGGATGCAAAGTCAAGTGGGCCTTAGCAAGCATCACTACAAACAAAGCTAGTGGAGGTGATGGAATTCCAGTTGAGCTATTTCAAATCCTAAAAGATGATGCTGTGAAAGTGCTGCACCCAATATGCCAGCAAATTTGGAAAACTCAGCATTGGCCACAGGATTGGAAAAGGTCGGTTTTCATTACAATCCCTAAGTAAGGCAATGCCACAGAATGTTCAAACTACCACACAATTGCACTCATCTCACACACTAGTAAAGTAATGCTCAAAATTCTCCAAGCCAGGCTTCAACAGTACATGAACCGTGAACATCCAGATGTTCAAGCTGGATTTAGAAAAGGCAGAGGAACCAGAGATCAAATTGCCAACATCCGTTGGATCATCAAAAAAGCAAGAGAGTTCCAGAAAAACATCAACTTCTGCTTTTTTGACTATGCCAAAGCCTTTGACTGTGTGGATCACACAAACTGTGGAAAATTCTTCAAGAAATGGGAATGCCAGACCACCTGACCTGTCTCCTGAGAAATCTGTATACAAGTCAATAAGCAACAGTTAGAACTGGACATGGAACAACAGACTGGTTCCAAATCTGGAAAGGAGTATGTCAAGGTTGCATATTGTCACCCTGCTTATTATATGCAGAGTGCATCATGCAAAATGCCAGGCTGGATTAAGCACAAGCTGGAATCAAGATTGCCAGGAGAAATATCAATAGCCTCAGATATGCAGATGACACTACCCTTATGGCAGAAGGCGAAGAATAGCTAAAGAGCCTCTTGATGAAAGTAAAAGAGGAGAGTGAAAAAGTTGACTTAAAGCTCAACATTCAGAAAACTAAGATCATGGCGTCTGGTCCCATCACCTCATGGCAAATAGATGGGGAAACAGTGGAAACAGTGAGAGACTTTATTTTCTTGGGCTCCAAAATCACTGCAGATGGTGACAGCAGCCATGAAATTAAAAGACGCTTGCTTGTTGGAAGGAAAGCTATGATCAACCTAGACAGCATATTAAAAAGCAGAGACATTACTTTGCCAACAAAGGTCCGCCTAGTCAAAGCTATGGTTTTTCCAGTAGTCATGTATGGATGTGAGTGTTGGACTATAAAGAAAGCAGAGCACCAAAGAATTGATGGTTTTGAACTGTGGTGTTGGAGAAGACTCTTGAGACTCCCTTGGACTGCAAGGAGATCCTGCCAGTCAATCCTAAAGGAAATCAGTCCTGAATATTCATTGGGAGGACTGATGCTGAAGCTGAAACTCTGATACTTTGGCCACCTGATGCAAATAACGGAGTCATTTGAAAAGAGCCTGATGCTGGGAAAGATTGAAGGCGGGAGGTGAAGAGGATGACAGAGGATGAGATGGTTGGATGGCATCACTGGCTCAATGGACATAAATTTGAGTAAGCTCTGAGAGTTGGTGACAGACACAGAAGCCTGGCGTGCTGCAATCCATGGAGTTGCAAAGAGTCAGACACGACTGAACAACTGAACTGAACTGAACTGAAAGAGATTCTGGTAGGCTGGAATGACTCATGAGATCTGATTACTAATAAGACAGAATCAACAGAGCCCTGTGTACCCTCCTTCTAAGTTCAGGGTCAGGAGGCATTGCGTAACCAGCAGCAACTGTGGAACAGGCATGGTGGTCATTGCCTTCCAGGCACCAAGGGCATGAAAAATGTGATCCCATTCCCATTTTCAAGAAAAAGGGGATCTTTAATCAAGGAGACTGAGATGGTTAGATAGCATCACCAACTCAATGGCCATGAATCTGAGCAAACTTGGGGAGATGGTGAAGGACAGGGAAGCCAGGTGTGCAGCAGTCCATAGGGTCACAAAGAGTCAGACATGACTTAGTGACTGAACAACAACATCACATCAAGGAGGCAATGGTCTCTTATTGCCTTTGTGGGGTAAGTGGTCAAACCTGGGGGCCATAGTTTATGATGGCAGGGGACAAACATAGCTTAGGGGAGGGAGGTTCATGAGGGGGCATGAAGCTGGGTCACCAAAGAAATAGACGAAGGACTCAGGAATGTTTCATGCAAAAAGGAAATTACACAGGAAATGTGAGCATCATCTCTAGGTGCTGGAGAAATACTCCAGGGACAGTCTGAAGGACTTCCTAAGATCACAGGGGCTGTCTTGTGGGGGAGCGAGTGGCCTGTTCCTGGAGGTAATCAAGAAGAGGCCAGATGAAGGGACTTCCCTGGTGGTCCAGTGGCTAAAACTCTCTGCTCCCGAAGCAGGGGGTGCAGATTTGATCCCTGGTCAGGGAACTAGATAGATCCCACATGATGCAACTAAGAGTTCACATACTACAACTGAAGACCCTGTGTGCTGCAATTAAGACCTGGTGCAGCCAAATAAGTAAATTTTATGTGTGTGTGTGTGTGTGTGTGTGTGTAGTTTTAAAGAGGCTGGATGAGTACACATAGGAGCTGGAGTAGATGGCTGCTACTGCTTCTGCCAACACTGACCAAAAATACCATAAAACGAGGTGCTTGGACCTGATAATTCCTGAGGAACTTTGAGAGCTGAGGCCAAGAATCAGCAACTATCCCCTCAAGGCCCTGGGCAGTCTCAGGGCCAGGGAGCCACGGGAGACCTGGCTTCAGGACATCTTGGGCAGGGGGAGGGCAGAAAGTGTTTCAGCGCTTGTGACACTCCTACCCCAGCTCTTCCTTGTGTCTGCGGCTTGCGCTCAGCTGGGACTGCTCTCAGGGCCAGAACCACAAGGCCACGAGAACTTCAGCTTCGCTCACTCATGTAGCACCAGTCAGCTGGCCGCAGAGGGGCAGGCAGCGTCCCCATCAATACTCCGATTATAAGTGTTAGTCGTTCAGTCGTGTCTGACTCTGTGACCCCACTGACTGCAGCCTGCCAGGCTCCTCTGTGCATGCGATTCTCCAGGCAAGAATACTGGAGTGGGTTGCCATGCCCTCCTCCAGGGGATCTTCCTGACCCAAGGATCGAACCTGAGTCTTAGGTCTCCTGCACTGGTATGTGGGTTCTTTACCATCTGTGCCACCTGAGGCCCCTGTCCATCACCCCCTGATTGACGCCCCAGACCCTGGTCGGAGGAGAAGCGCAGAGAGGCCCAGGTTGGAGTCAGAGTGTGTTTTAGCTCCGGCCCTGCAAGCGGCTGGGGCAGACCGTGCCTCTGGTCGGCCTGCGTTCGCTCCGTGGCTCAGCACAGGCCTCAGCGTTTGTTTACCCCCAGCCCTGCTCCCAGAAGTTGTCCACCTGCTGCTCCCCCTGGGCAGGCCTGCGGGGCCCTGGGGAACAGGCCCGGGCCCTGGAGCTGGTTGCAGGGCTGGCCTCTGCCCCGCAAGTCTTCTTCCCTCCTGCGTCCCTTCCCGGCCCTGGGGTGGTCCGGCGGTGGGAACGTGGGGGTGGGCGGCAGGCTGCTGGGGCTGCAGGGGCCGCCGTGTGGTATTCTCATTACCAGCCACCACGAGGGCCGGCCCGGCCGCCCCCTTGGCCACGGTGGCTGCCTTCACACCTCCTGTTGCCTGTTGACACAAGGCCGCCTCCTCCAGGGCAGAAGGTGTCGACTTGGGAACCAGGGTGTGCAGGGGCCTCCAAAACAGCCTGGCAGCAGGTCCCCTCAGAAACCCCAGAAAGCACTTCTGGGGTAGGGGCGGGGGCTGCAGGCCCCCCTCGTGGGATGCTGAGGGTAAAGGCAGAGCCTGTGTCCGTGGGTTGGTGATACCCAGGGGCCTGCGTGTGCCCCTCGCTCACTCCGGGAGCCCCGAGTATCCAGCCCAGAACCCTCAACACTCTTCTCCCATGGCTCCAGGGACGGGCGTGTGACTCTGGGCATAGCCAGGGAAGCCCAATGACCAGGCCCTGCCAGGCAGAGCACCATCAGTGTCACCCGGGCGCGCCCAGAGGCTGACAGTCACCCGGGAAGGGCACAGAGCAGCCCCGGGCACTGGCCTCACCCTGAGCGGGCCTCACACGGGCCCGGCTGTGAGCATGTCCACCCCCCACGGTGCCCAGCGTTGCCCACAGAAGTCTGTTCAGTGCTCAAAGCCCAGGCCTGACAGCCTGCTATTCCCTGTCTTGCTGAGTGGGGAAATTGGGCCCAGAGAGCCCACTTTCTTTGCTTTAGGGCCCCCCAGAACCAGAATTCAAACCCACAAAGGCCATGCACACCCCCATGAGGAAACATCGTTCCTGACCAGGGGATGAGAGTTGGAGGAGGAGAAAGACAGTTGGCTCCGAGTCTGTGGGGGCCTGATGTGCTGGGAGACCATGGGCGACAGAGAGGTGCTACCTGGCCAGGTGATCAGGGCGGGTCCCGGGTGGAAGGGAGGGCCCTGAAATTGTGGATTTTCTCCAAGTGGGGGTGGGGTCTTCCTGGCCGAGGGGAAAGGTGTGAGCCTGTCTGGAAGCAGGGATGCTCAGGGGTAATTGGGGCGATGCCAAGCCGTCTGGAGCCCTGGGACAGAGGTGCAGAGGGGGGAGGGGTGTGGACAAGAAAGTGGGAGCTGGGTGGGGTTGGAAAGTCCTGCTGAGTGAGGAGTTTGGGCTCTTGGGGAGGCAGTGAGATCCCACAGAAATTCTGAGGAGGGGGAGGGGTTGGAAGGTAAAGAGATGGAGGCAGGAAACAAGACTGCGGTCACATCAGGGCAAAGGCTGTCTAAATTGGGTACAGGCAGGGGCTCTGGGTGGGCCAAGGATACCATAGGAGGTCATGTGGGCAAAGATGGCTGGGGGTGCATGGGAGAGGCTGGGGCCACAGGCATCCAGGGAGTGTCCAGCAGGCTGGGGGCAGGGAGGTGCACGCCATGTTCTTCCTCCAACAAGAAGGCTAGGCCAAGGAGGCTGGTGTGGAAGGGCCTGCAGAGGCCCCAGGGTGGCCTGGTCCAGCTCCTGGAGCAACAAGTCAGCAGAGACGGCCCAAGCCTAGGGCCAGCCATGCCTGGGCTCAGTGCCTATCTTTTAGCCTCAGTCTCCTCATCTATGAAATGGGTGTCCTTGCTGGGAGGATTAGATGTAGCATCATATGTTCATCACCGGGGACTCCACGAGTATTGCCTGCCTGTCCTGCTGGAGAAAAGAGGCCGTCTGTGGTCTTGCAGCTCTTGGGAGGGACAAAGTGGGAGAAGGAGAAGCACTAACTCTGAAGGCTCTGCAAGGGGAGAGCCAGCGGCCCCAGCCTGACTGCTGAGAGCCTTAAGGGGACCTGGGTCCACCATCCCTGCTACCAGAGTGCAAACAGCAGAGGCAAGGGGGCTGCGAAGTCTTTTCCTCCCTCCCTCCCTTCTTTTTCTTCCTTTTCTAATTTATCAAAGCAATAATAATCATTACAGAGAAGCGAGACTTGGGCTTCCTCGGTGGCTCAGTGGTAAAGAACCCGCCTGCCAATTCAGGAGACGAGGGTTCAATCCCTGGGTCAGGAAGATTCCCCTGGAGGAGGAAATGGCAACTCAGTCCATATTCTTGCCTGGGAAATCCCATGGACAGAGGAGCCTGGTGGGCTACAGTCCACGGGGTCTCAAAGAGTCAGGCATGACTTAACGACTAAACAACAAGAAAGTATAGACGATCAAAATGAAGGGAATTTTAAAGCCCCCACTTCCATCCACCCAGAGAGGACCAGGTTCACACTTAGTCTATATCTCTGCATCCTAACCTTTTCTAAGGATCCCTACAAACACAGAACATGGAGATGGAAGCATTAAGGGAGCATACTGAGTTCTTTGGGCTTCCCAAGTGGCGCAGCGGTAAAGAATCCACCTGCCAACACAGGAGACACAAGAGATGTGGGTTCAATCCCTGGGTTGGGAAGATCCCCTGGAGTAGGAAATGGCAACCCACTCCGGGATTCTGCCTGGAGAATTCCGTGGACAGAGGAGCCTGGCAGCCTACAGTCCATGGCATCACACAGAGTTGGACACAACTCTGAGCACACACGCTGAGTTCTTTTGCCCATTTTTTTGAAGCTCTGGTAATAGATATCCTCATTTTTAAAACAGCTTTATTGAGATGTCATTCACATACCATACATTCACCTGTTTAAAGTGTACAATTCAGTAGTTTTTGTATATTACATTTAAAATTCCTTTAAATTGCAGTAAATATATTTTGTATAACACAAGATTTGCCATGTTAACCATTGTTAAGTATACAGTTCAGTGGCATTAATTGCATTCAGTGGCATTAATTGCATTTCCAATGTTGTACAACCATCACCACTTCTATTTCTAAAACTTTTTCATCATCTCAAGCAGAAATCGAACCCATTAAGCAAAAACTCCCCTTCACCACCAGCCCCTCAGCCCCTGGTCACCTCTCATCTGCCTCCCGTCTCTATAAATTTATCTGTTTTAGGTATCTTGTATAAGTATAACCATACAGTATTGTCCTTTGGTGTGTCTGGCTTATTTCATAATGTCATCAAGGTTCATCTGCAGGGTAGCATGTACCCAAGCTTCATTCCTTCTTACGGTCAAATAATAGCCCATTGTCCATTTATGCCACATTTTGTTCACTCATCAGTTGATAGACATTTGGGCTGTTTCCACCTTTCAGATGTTATGAACAATGCTGCTATGAATGTTGGCAGACAAGCATCTATTTTAGCCTCTGCTTTCAGTTCCTTTGGCTGTATAAAGCGCATGTTGTTTTGCGACCAACTTCTCTCACTAATGCATTAATAACTTTCAAAAAAATTGGAGTATAATTGCTTTACTATGTTGTGTTAGTTCCTGCTGTACAAGAAAGTGAATAGGTATATGTATCCATATAACCCCTCCCTTGCAGACCTCCCTCCCACCACAAGAGATGTGGGTTCAGTCCCTGGGTTGGGAAGATCCCCTGGAGTAGGAAATGGCAACCCACTCCGGGATTCTGCCTGGAGAATTCCGTGGACAGAGGAGCCTGGCAGCCTACAGTCCATGGCATCACACAGAGTTGGACACAACTCTGAGCACACATGCTGAGTTCTTTTGCCCATTTTTTAGAAGCTCTGGTAATAGATATCCTCATTTTTAAAACAGCTTTATTGAGATGTCATTCACATACCATACATTCACCTGTTTAAAGTGTACAATTCAGTAGTTTTTGTATATTACATTTAAAATTCCTTTAAATTGCAGTAAATATATTTTGTATAACACAAGATTTGCCATGTTAACCCTTGTTAAGTATACAGTTCAGTGGCATTAATTGCATTCAGTGGCATTAATTGCATTTCCAATGTTGTACAACCATTACCACTTCTATTTCTAAAATTTTTCATCATCTCAAGCAGAAACCGAACCCATTAAGCAAAAACTCCCCTTCACCACCAGCCCCTCAGCTCCTGGTCACCTCTTATCTGCTTCCTGTCTCTATAAATTTATCTGTTTTAGGTATCTTGTATAAGTATAACCATACAGTATTGTCCTTTGGTGTGTCTGGCTTATTTCATAATGTCATCAAGGTTCATCTGCAGGGTAGCATGTACCCAAGCTTCATTCCTTCTTATGGTCAAATAATAGCCCATTGTCCATTTATGCCACATTTTGTTCACTCCTCAGTTGATAGACATTTGGGCTGTTTCCACCTTCCAGATGTTATGAACAATGCTGCTATGAATGTTGGCAGACAAGCATCTGTTTTAGCCTCTGCTTTCAGTTCCTTTGGCTGTATAAAGTGCATGTTGTTTTGCGACCAACTTCTCTCACTAATGCATTAATAACTTTCAAAAAAATTGGAGTATAATTGCTTTACTATGTTGTGTTAGTTCCTGCTGTACAAGAAAGTGAATAGGTATATGTATCCATATAACCCCTCCCTTGCAGACCTCCCTCCCACCCCCTCATCCCACCCAACAAAGTGAATAGGTATATGTATCCATATAACCCCTCCCTCACGGACCTCTCTCCCACCCCCTCATCCCACCCATCTAGGTCATGCAGAGCCCTGAGCTGAGCTTCCTGTGCTACACAGTGTATGAATAACCTTTTCCCGATTACTAAATTTATTTCTGCAATGAGATTTTAAAGTCCTCCCTGGTGTGACTGTTACTGTTTAGGTAACAAATTTTCTAGTATATACTGAGATGCCTTGAAGTTTTGCACATAGGTATATATCCGTGTACCTATACTTTTAAACTGCACATGTCACATGTGAACACAAACTCCTTGAAAAAGTTTTAAACCTTATAGATATGATTAACATCTCTATATCAGCTCTCAGAACCCAGCTCTGCCCCACCCGCACACCAGATAAGTCCTAGACATTAGCCTTGGTGAGTATGCATTTATGCACACGCATGCTGTGGATCCTTACAAAATGCACGGTAGGGGGTTGGTTTTTAGATTTTTGTTCTCTTTTGCTTTTCCTTATATCAATCAAGTCACATGGAAGGAATTTTTCTGCAGTTTGGATCTGTCACTCAGCAGTAAGGCTTCAGTTGCACCTTTAATCTTTTCTTATCAGGATGAATTCCCCATTAGGGAAATCACTGGGCAAAGGGCATGCTGAGGCTGTTCTGAAGCCTGGGGCCAGCCTTGGGGAGGGCCGGGGGGTGGGAGCAGAGGTGGGGGTTGTCAAGGCCAACCTGGTTGTGGGAGGCAAGCAGCAGGTGTCGGCACTCCTGGGGGCCTCCGCCAGATGGGCCACCTAGGCTGGGTGCTGACTGTGCACTCCCAGGGCCTAGGGTGAGGCATGATCTCCAAGGGTGAAGGAACTTCCTGGGCTCTGCCAAGGGCTAGACTTGGATTTCTCTTGGTGGGTTTATCCTACCCTCAGTAGGCACATACTCAGTACTGACCATGTAAGACCCTTCTTCTGTTTATAATCTGGTCAACTTAAGCCCTGGCTTACCATGTGGTGCTAGTGGTAAAGAACCTGCCAGGCAGAGAACCTGCCTGGCAGGTTCTTTTCAAGAGACATAGGAGACACAAGTTCTATCCCTGGGTCGGGAAGATCCCCTGGAGGAGGGCCTGGCAACCCACTCCAGTATTCTTGCTTAAAAAGGGCTATAGTCCATAGGGTTGCAAAGAGTCAGACATGACTGAAGTGACTTGGCATGCATGCATGCAACTTAAGCTTTATCCTTGCCGCCTACATGTTCTCCACTCTGTTAAGGGCTGTCTTAACAGGATCCTATGCTCAGAAGCTCTTCACTTCCCCAAACCCTACTGAGATACCCCAGCTTACTCCCAGGAGCCCCCATTCTGCTCCATATTAGATCTGAAGTTAGATACCCCAGGAGAAGGGAGGTGATGTGCTCCTTCCCCAGCCCTTGGGAAGGACAACCTGGAGCTGATTGAGGCCCCAAGCCACCCAGTGACTTGGCTGGAGCCTCACCATTGTCCTGGCACCTCACTGTTCTGCTGTGCAGTCAGCCAGGGCAGGCGTGGGGTTAGAAGGAGCCAGAAACCTGTGTATCCTGCCCAGAGGAAGCGCCATCCTGTGCTTTCTGCAGGTACTGGTGCTGGATGCGCCCAAAGTTTGCTGCTGAGTTGGGCCTGTAAATCCTTAGGGGGAGCTGGCGAGCCTAGAGTTTTGGTCAGCTCGTGGTCTGATTGCTTTCAACCTCTGCTTCCAGGGGTATGTAGGGAAAGTAGGGAGACCTAAGCCCGTCTGTCTTCTCCTCATTCTTCTGGGTTCCATCTTGCTTTACCTTTTTGCACACAGGTGTATGTTTTTCCCAGTGGACAGATAAGCAAATTGGGGTCCAGAGAGAACAAATGGACTGTCTG